TCATCATCACCTGGGAACCTGAAGTCAGAGGGCAGCAAGTTTGAGGCAAACCTGGGCTACCTAAGGAATTCTAGGCCAGCCTGGGCTACACAGAAAACTCACATCCAGGGCTGAAGAGCTGGCTCAGTGGTTAAAAGCACTGACTGCTCTTGCAGAGGACCCAGGTTCGAGTCCCAGCACCCACATGGCAGATAACAATTGTCTGTAACTCCAGTTCCGGGGGATCTTCTGACCTCCACGGGCATTGTATTACATAGGTGCACTTACATACATGCAGGCAATACGCTTGTACACATAAAATAAAAATAATAAAATATTTGTTTTAAAAAAGAAAACTTATATCCATTAGCATGCAACCCTCCTCCCATTTCCCCATGTACTTGTCTAACCCTAGGAAATCACTAATCCTCCTATCTCTGTGTCTGCACACACATGCATATATACACAAACACACAGATAAACATATATAAGAAAGAGGAAAGGTTTGTTTCAGCTGTTTCACTCTATGGTCACTGGACCCCTCACTGTGGGCCTGGAGTGAGGTCACTGGACCCCTTAACTGTGGGCCTGCACTGAGGGCAGAACATCATGGTCAGGGAGGAAGAGCAGAAGAAAGCTGCTTACCTAGTGCTGGCCAGGAACAGAGACCAACAAAGGGCCAGGGACAAGATACATCTTTCCAGGACACGCCCAAGTAACCTAATTCCTCCACTAGGCCTTATCCAGTAGTTTCTATCACCATGCAATAATGCCATAAGCTGGCAGCCAAGCTTTACATACAATGCTTCTGGGCCATAGCAGAGATATTCTATGTAAATGACTTCTTTCACTTAGCATAATGCTTTTAAGCTTCATTTTTGTTGTTTAGAAATTGACTTTTTAAGCATACTTTTGAGAATTTCATAAATGAGTTATAAATGGACTTCTTTTCTGTACTCAAGTCTCAGCAAATTTATTTGAATATGCTTCTGTTAGTAGGAATAAACAAAAGGTCACAGGGTTTAGCAGTCCCCATCTGTTCTGGAAAGCTGACACTTGAAGCATATTACTGCTTTTCTTTTCTTTCTCTGTTCTTTTTTTTTTTACTTTAGAATATTTTTCTTATTCCAAAGAAAGGCAATTTTTAACACATTTTTCGAGAAATAATGTGAAGCAGGTTACATAAAATATATACACAATGAAGTTTAAGGGGTGGGGAATAGGACTAAGAGATCAAAGACCAAAGGAGCTGTTAACATGGGTCAGCTTTGGTGGGATATTGAAGGCTTCCATTAGCTGTGTTCTTTTTCTTTGTTTGTTTTGGAAAATACTAACAACTTTATTGT